GGCAAACGTCCCCTTCCCTCCCCTTCCCTCCTCTCTCCTCATTTGGTTGGATTACAATGTAAAAGAAATTAAAGCAAAATAAGTGAAAGTCCCTCCTTTGAGTCTGCTCCCTTTTCCTCCAAATTTTCATTATTTAAATAGAGAAATTTCTCTCTTCTCTTTTTTCCCCTTCTTTCAAACCAAACAAACTATTAATTATAAAGTTTGGGACAAAACAAGCGACTTATTATCCATACTTTGATATTTACACATCAAATATTATGACAAATAAATTATAAAGATGACAAAACTTGTTTGGCTTGCAAATTCTAGACCAACTAATTAAGGAAATAAATCATGGTCTCCTCATATAGATGCTACTCGTGTATTGTGTGGGGCTAAAAGTGAGACTAGGTACCATTTGTCCTTCTCATGGCTCCTACTCTAGCCTTGTTTGGCAGATTATTTCCTCCATGTTAGAAATTCCTTCTACATGTTCTTGGCAACCTATTTGATCTTGGTTATGGCATAAGGCTAAATGGAAGTCATTATACAACAATCTTATAAGATTAGCTTGGTGAGTGAAAACATACCATATTTGGATAGAGAAGAATGTCAAAATTCACAGACAAACATTTAAAAATGATTTTGTAATTGTGAGTCAAATACATGTAGATGTTTAATATATGGTACTTGGTTTTGCCAAAGCAAAACCTCCCTTATGTCTAAAAGAATCACCTCAAAATGAAGATTGAAAGTTTTGTGTAGAGATTGATATAGTATTCTTTAGTATAGTTGATTCATTCTTGATATATCGATATTGGTAGTAGTGTGTATTATAATGCGTTGCTTTGTGTATAAAAAATTTGCATTTTACCAAATTGATAAAGTTGACATTTTTACCATATATAGTTTTTGCCATTTCATATAATTCCCAACGAAGAAATTTCTATTAAAGTTAAAAATCTTCACACAAACTTTTGCTCTTTGGGATCATTTGACAAGTTTCTTCTTAGAAAAATGTAATACTAATTTTTTTTACCAAAAATAGAAAATTTTAACAATTCCTTCAAATTTTCCTTTGTCAGCCAAAAAAACAAATTTTCCTTACATAAGTTACAACTTTCCCAACCATAACAAAACTATATGTCCATAGTAATTTTTTCAATAAAATTTTTCTAAGAAAAAACTATTTTAAAATAAACAGGCCCGAATGATAAGAAATCTTCAAATCATCAACCAAAGTATGTTGGCCAAAAATGAATCAACCAAAGTATCCAAGAGAGAGAGAGAGAGAGAGAGAGAAAGGGAAATTGGAGTACAAGTGTAAGAGAGAAAGTATAGGGAGAAAATCATTGGAATCTTATATGGTTGGGGGCATAACATAATTTATACTCTACCCATTTAGACAGCGATCGAGACGTCAAACTCTTTTGGTTTTTTAGGCCAGCTTGGCGTCTAACTTTGCAATAAATTATTTTCCATTCATAAAAATAAAAAAAATAAAAAAAAATAAAAAAATAAATAAAACAAAAAAAAAACATATATTTTTCTACATTCATTTTTTTAAAACTTATTTTTGTTCTGGTGGGGTTAGTGGCACTGTGGAGGACTTCTCATTCATTACGAAAGTACAGTGGTGCCCATCAACTGCACGCATTAAAGGACAACCCGACTTCATATCCAATACAAATTAGATATAAAAATAGTAATAAAATTTAAAATTTATATTTTATAATTAAGATTGTATTATATTATAAAATATTAATTATAATATTAAAAAATTAATTAATAAAAAAAATTTATAATTTAAACTATAAAATATCAAACTTTAAAATAAATGTCTTTTTATTTTTATCAATTTATTATTAAATCATGACTTGTGAGTGTGACTCTTAATTTTCTTTACCACGAAATTAAGATGGAAAAAGTTTTGTTGTAATGTAAGGAAGATTTTTTTCAGCATGGAGGAAGATTTCGTTAGAACAAAGCAATATCCAAATGCTTTTGGGTAGTCCATTCTTTCCCAATATTATGTTAACAAAACCTCGATAATAACGAACCAATAGAAATCTTCTGACTCTTCATTTTTCTCGTCTCTTTTGAACTACTTATGATTTGTTGGAAAGGTCTAATCCCAGCTTATGGCTAGAAAAAGTTACATTTTTCCAACTGTCCTGGGAAGCTAAGTGTCTTCCTTTTCATTTTCGTATTCAATTGGTAAAATTTTCATACATAGACGACTATATGAAGACACGGGTTTTAAGGTTTTACCTTTTGTATCCACTAATTTGGGATTTGTTAACCGCCTTCAATTGTATATATAAGTCATTATCAATTTTACCAAGAAATAAAAAGTGTAAGTCCTTATCAAACGATGTATGAAAAAATCTTGATTAGGATTTTTGTAATTTAATTCTTAAATATATATATGAATGAAACAATAGGGTACTTTCTAGTTGGTTTTCAGAATTAATCACGAATAACAATAGCAATAGATGGAACAAAAATATATAGAATTAAAATTTAAGGTTAAGAACATAATATAAATTTTGTGAGTGTAAAGGAGCATGATTTGTATGGATGAAGGTGTTGAGATGATGAGGTTTGGAGAGTGTTTTGCCAAATGATATTTTTTGTTTGACAGAGTCTGTGGTGAATGGTATAAGTGGGGACTGTTTGGAGGATTTAGGAGCCTTCATATTTTTTTTTTTATTGTTGCTTGGTTTATTTGGTTTTGGAGGAAAATAAAGGTGTTTGGGGCAAAGTTGGTGTCTGAGGTGTTATTATTAGAGTTTATATAAAATAATTTTTTTTTATGATTTAAAAATAAGAAATAAGCTGTGTGTTTTCCTATCAATATTGGATATCAAGGCTTCTGAAGTGTAAAAAAATTATTGTTCAATATCATAAAAATTTGAAAAATTATAAGCTATTGAAACCAGGCACGGGATGAATTTATTTTACTTAATTTTCTGCAGTTTCATGTGTTAAATTGTAATATTTTTTGTGTTTGTAAAGCGACTAGATTTGAACCTTTGTTTGAAGATTGTATTGTGTGCTTTGGAGTGTTACTTGTAGTGCTAGGTAATATATTTTTCATTTGATTTTATTGATATAAAAAAATACATAATATAAATTATTTTATTTAAAATATTAAAAAATAATTTTATATTATTTAATAATTAATTTTTTATTTTATTAAAATTTATAATATTATATACTAATTTATTTAATAACATAACTTTTTTTTGAACAATTTATAATTATTTACAGGTTAATTGAGAGAGGAGGAAAAGAGATTCGTTAATTGGGAGAGGAGAAAAAGAGATTTCGTGAGACTCGAACGTGCAATTCACCGGAGATGAATAGTCCTAATCCAAGATTTAATGCCACTAAACCAAATCGAACAGTTCATTTAATAACATAACTTATATTATATCATTACTCTTAATTTTTTATTTAAAATTTTGGTTATGTAAGAGTACCCATCAATCACTTTTCATGAAAGAAAGGAAAAAAAAAAACGTGTTTTGAAATCTTGAGATTTAGGTTTGATTCTAACTCCAGAATGACTTTCAAGCATGGTGATGAAGACCACCCAACATAAAATGGTTTAAACACCCTTTTTTTTCCATCCCTAAACTTTTTATTTTCTTTGATCAAAATGGTCCCTCATCTTTTTTTTAGTACTTTTTTTATCTAGGTCCCTCCCTTACTAAAATTAAATGATTCCTATAATACTAAGCACTAAAAGATTTTAAAAAGAAAAAAAAATTGGTCAGTCAATATAGATGAAGAAGAACTAGCATTAGTTCTCTAATTTTGTAGATTTCACCAAGGAAGCATGAATATTGAACTATCATACTTGACGGAAACTAAACGTAGTTCCCAGTTTTTCTCTCCGGCAACTTGAAAATTGACTTCACCGTCCACGGAAGCGACCAAATCAGGAAGTTGGTGTCCTTTTAGTATAAAAAATTCGGAAGTTCATCTACTGCATCTAACTCCAAGACAACGGAGGTGACTGGTGGGTAAGATGAGAAAACATGGCAGACGGTGTCGGGATACGTTTCAGAAGAATCAAAAGCCGAATCGTTTAATAATTTTACCACTACTAGTATTTAAAAGGAAAATAATCACACTAGAATCCCAAAATCAATCCTGACGGTAATGATGAATAGAAAGACTCCAATGTGATAAGATTGAGTAAATTAACTCCAAATTAAAAGTAAGGAAAAGAATTTCGGAATAAATTTTTATATTATTTTTTTTTATTTTTAAATATTATTTAAATAATTTATTTTATTTATTTATTTAAAATTCATGATATTAAAGTTTAGTTTGACAATAT